GCCTGCCACGAGCACACCCACAGTTAGCACGGACTAACGGCTTTCTGGACTCACAGAATCGCATCTCGCCAGCTTCAACACTCCTTGCTAGTTGCATTATTTTGTATCTGTATCTTCCGACTTTGTTTCTGCACACCCATGCAATTCTAGCTGCATTCTTCTATCTGACCTAGTTTCCACTTTGTGCAGGACTACTGAAAAGTTTCTGTAACAAGTAAAAACATGAGGGGTGTTTTAGAGGGCTTTGCTTTCATTTTACTCTTTAAACCTGGAATATTTTTTAATCTTCTCCCTCTGTAAATCCAGCTGCCTTAGTTACCACTAGTCCAACTCAGAGGGAGATGGAAAATCCTTTAAAAATTACCTAAAGCAGCTTTTTTAAATACCTAAAAATATTAAGATTTAAAAGCACAATGTCATGGGAATTTCAGGGCACGAGGAAAGAAGTCCCGAGTGCGGCAGAGGGACTCTGCCCACAGAAGCGCTCTCATTCATCGTGCGGTCTATCACGACATACCAGCTCCTCCACATCCGGCACGCTACCCGGCCCGTTCCACGTGTCACTGTGATGCTGTTCCAAGGGAGAAAAACTTCTTTTACGTGGCTGATTTAAGTAGTGCCAAGTGCTCCATAAACCCATTCAAAAAGCAGCGCTCGTGCAGTGGTGCTGAAGAGGAAGGACGTGCGGACAACACGCAGATGAAGCGATCAACTTCTCAGGACAAACACAACCTCACTACGAATCTACAGCATGGTGAAGACACTTTCCTGGGCAATCTTTTATATATATTCTAATCACAATGCACTACAGAAGGTAAAAGAGAAGGTGAGAGAGAAAGAGGAATTAAGATGAAGCACACAGAAAGAGAAGGGGCTGGGTTATAACCCGGAGGAGACAGCTCTCCTCTGCCACAGCCGAGACAGGGTAGAAAGCAGAGAGGACAGCAACAGAAAGACATAAAGCTGATGACAGCCAGAAAAAGTGAAGTTCGGGGGAAAAAAAAAAAAAGTAACATTCAGGGGCATGTGCCCTTTCAAACAATGCGGGAGCCATCTCTTCAAAGTGACAGCAAAAGCCATTTCTCGACGACAAACTGGCCACAAAAGCCAATCACGCTTCTCAAAAACGCAAGCATATGCCACCACGCATGACACGTCGGTCCCTGGTGCGAGCTAGAAACAATCCTCGTCCACAAATCCTTCTTCCTTTCCTCTGCCAACATCAGCACGTCTCCCCCACCACCACCCTTTGCTTCCTTGGTGGTTAATAGCTTCTCATCCGGGGCTGGCAGGGGGTGTTTGGAAAGATTGCAGGCAGAAAAATTATCCAGGAAAAGGATTCCTCCTCAGCACGTTATTATAAGCTTGCTGGAAGCCAAACAATTAAGCCAATTGTTTTCTCTCTCTCATTTAGCTGTTTTGTATACACACAGACTTTCTGCTGGTCCACTGACCCCTGCCCTGCTCCAGCACCACACGAACGTCACGCAGTCAGGCTGCCAGCTCCGGCCAGCTGATCTCGGGCGAGCGCAGCTCTTTTCTGCTCCACGTACAACACATTCTCATTAACCAGAATTAAACCAGCATTAATCTAGAATCATGACTGATGGCCGTATTAAAACATTAACTCTTCCTAGCCAGGAGAGTCAGTACCTTTTGATCGGGGGGGAGCTGCTACCGCTGCTCAGGATCCGACCTGGACGCCTGCAGGGCTCTCGACATGTCTTATGGCTACAACGTTCCTGCTGTAAAATGGAAGACTTGCAACCCGGCAAAGAAAAATTAAGTTATTCAAGGTGACACGCGGTTTGAGAGTCACGCTCCCCGCTCTGCCTCGCTACAGACAGGTCACTCCACCTCTCAACAGACACAGAAACTTCCCCCTGCCCCGAGAAGTCACCGAGCTGGTGAGGGGACAGGCTCCCCGTGATGAGGAACAGGAACGCCAGGCGCGCGTACGGAGATTCGCAGCAAAAATCCTTTGTTTCACCCCCAGCTCAGGGAAACGCGGTGGGGAGAAGAGGGCTCCGAGTGCGGGCTCCTGACTCGGAGTGACCTCGGAGCAGAGTCACTTCACCTCTCTGCTCCCAACCTCTGAACGGCCGAGGGTTAATCAGCTAATTGTTCGTAAGGCAGTTTGAGACCTCCACGTTAAAGAGGAGATATAAAAGCCAATTATTTTGGTCATCTGTTCGGAACGGGAAAGGTATTTGATAATGTAATACAAAGGTGGCAAACAGAGCTTTTATGTTATCCCAAGGGCTCTTGCTGTCCATTTGGTGCCAACACTTTCTCAGCAGGAGACTTACAAGGCTATTTTATACATAAAGAGCAAACCACCCCCTTGGAGAAATGCTTCTGAATCACAGCCACGACGCAGGCAGCTCCCTCTGCAGCATCCAACCCTGCATATAAAACATGCAGCTAAACATCCTCCCCTGGGGAGCGGAGAGTTTGAGTGTTACAGGGAGCAGCTGCTATAGAGAGGGAACATTTACAAGTGTGGGGGGTTAAGTACAACTAACAGGAGTCAAGGGATGGTAGCTTTAGGTCAGCGAGCGTGTGCTTTAACAGGAGGCCTCGGAGGGGAGAGTCAGTGCTACAGGGAGATAAACGCTTGCTTGATTTATTTTAAAAATTAATTTGATGGCCCCGTGCTGCCTTGAGACAAATGAGCACCTGCCTCTTCTGCTCCAGCACAGCCAACCTTCCTGCTCGCCTGCTCTCCTCCCAGCGACCGGGGTCTCGCTTTCCCTTTAGGCAGAGAGGAAGAGGATTTTAAACTTGAAAGATTTCTATCCCAGAGGGCTAACGGAGGGGGAAGGGGGGGTTCAAAGCTACAGATGAGTTCACAGCCACTAACGCAGCTCTGCATTTGCTCCCTGCTCACAGCAGGTCTGAAATCCCCCTTAGCTACGATTCTCCCCCCCACGTCCCTACCCCTCCCCAAACCAATTTGAATAGGAAATGAAGTGTGGCTCCGTGGAGACAATGGTTTATTGTAAAGTTTTTGCTGCGACGCACAGTATAAAAACCTGCCAAGACACATGTAAACATTCGCAACTGCCAGGCTCCTCCGTAATGAAAAGCTATAAAGAACACCCAGGTGGGAAGCACAATACTACCAGCTAATTAAAGTAACCAATAATATTCCTCCCAGGAATGCAAGAGTGTGTTCCGCTCAGTGGGAGAAGCCACTTCTAAGCCCGTGAACTCGGCTTCCTGGTGGAGCAAACAAAAAAGGGACACGGCGAGGCGAGGCGAGCCCTGCCGCCGGACACTGCTCCGCAGAGCGCGTGGCCGGAGCTCGCAGGGGACACAAAGCCCAGCGTCGGGCAATCTGGAGGCTAGAGCCAGCCCTGCCACCGACTCCTGACCTTGGGCAAGTCATTTTCCCCACCGGTAGGTCTCCATCTGTACAACGGGGAGCAGTTCATTAGTATACAGCGAGCTGCATTTGCTGGTGAACGGCTCGGGGAGATCGGACCTCGCACTTCGGTGGTTTCAGGGTTTCACCACGTACAGGGGCCACAGCGCAACCCAGGAAGCCCGCTCCTTCCATAAGCCCTGGCTTTATTAACCTGCAGCCACACAATCCTACCCAGGGAAGGCCACGGCCATAAACATTGACAAGGCATATATTCCTCCTGAAAAATGGGAGCTCCTAGTGACAGGGTTAATGATGTTTGAGCAGCCTCTCACCCTGAGCTCCACATATCCCAGCTTTAATGCACTGGCCTCCTTCCCCCACCCCCAAAGGGACGGGAGAGGGAAGGGGGGGGGAACAGCGACCTCCAATGCCAGATATTTTCTACATCAGTGAATTCCCAGGGCCAGTGGAATAAAGCAGAACACTCGTACGTGGAGAAACAGGCAGCAAAAAAGGTCAAATCCATCCCCCCGAGGAGGAGAGGGGCTTATTTCACAGGGATGGAGAGAAGATGAACCTCCCCTGGCTCCTACCCTTTTCCACATCGAGAGGAGAGGTCTCCATGCCAACATTATCCAGCTGTTACAGCTGGACAATTCTTTTTCACTCACCACTATTTCTGAACAGTGCTGCAGCACAAGGTTCGTTACAGCCCAGAAGAGGAAAAGGCTATTTTTGTTTGGGAAGCGCACAGGATGTTGTATTCATCTCAGAGTATATATTTATCCTTTCTTCTGTTTTCCCCAAACATGCTAAATTCATCTTCTCCCCCGTTTGCTACAGAACACATTTAGGCAAGGGATTATCGCACTGACAAGCAAACCATTCTCCGGCACGTTTACTCCAAGCACGCCCGGGGCTCCCCCCAGCATGTTCAGTGCCCTTCAGCAAAGCCCACCCTTTCAGCCGGAGATGGAGCTCCATCTCCTACCCCACCGGCAGACCCCCGCAGTCCGCTCCAGCACATGAAGGCTGAGCTAAAACAGTTGCTAGGTCTGAGGACCAGAAGAGGGGTTACGCTCAGAAGCTTGTGTATATTCCTCCCCTGGAAAAAATAAATAGCTTTAAGACCAAATCCATCCCCCAACAAAGCTCATCTCATTTGTACTTCAAAGAGTTATTTCCTACCAGGGAGCTCTGGACACCTTCTCTTTAGAGAGCTCATTACCTTGGTCTTTACAGACTTGGCTCCTACCCCAATCAGAAATGTGCACTTAAACAGCGCGAGTCAAACGCCTGAAAACAAACCAATTACACAGCCCGCTAAACGGTGGCTCTCCCCATATTAAAATTTGGATGAACAGTCTTAAAATTCAGCACCTCCATTCAGCAGTCGTAACTCTCTCAAAACCGTATCAAGAGTCACATACACAAAACAAACAGAAGGAAAGATGAAGGAAACAGTGTTGACAAGACTCCCCCGGGGTCCGGGGCCCATGCCGCTGCATTGATAACAAGATGTAAAACCTCCAGCAGCACGAAGGCTTTGAACGGTCACGGCGCGCTACGAGCTGCAGCACTGGGCTAATCTGGAGGTGCAAAGAGTGTCCTGGAGGCCAAGGCACCTTACCTTCTTGGAGAGCGAGGAGACATTCAACCCAAATCTTTGAGCCCTTTCCTTTAATTTATCCATGTTTACCTATAAAGACATAGGAAACAATTTATATTTTTTCTTAAAATCACCACCACTCAAGTTGCAGGGATAGAGATAAGGCCACCTCCTGGAAAAGCCTCCCACAACAGACTTGCGCACAGCGATCAGCCCCAGGGAAAACTCCTCTGGGCACTGTGCTGCACCGACATCCAGCAGCAGCAGCTCCTGCCAGCACCGAGGGCCGCAAAACAGAACCAGCGTCCCAAACAAAGCAGCCAGATACTGCCAGTTGCCCCTTCGCTTCCTCAAACCGACCAAAGGATAAATACTCCAGGTGCTGTTCCCCCTCCTGAAGGAGCGGTTGTTTCAGACCATTACTGTGAGCCACCTGTACCTGGTACCTTTCCTGCAGCAGTCTGGTCAACACAAACAGAAAATAAACAGCCTCGTAGGCAAACTTGCCAGTACTCCTAAAAGTTACCACTGCTATCTGGCTGCCAGAGGTTTAAGAAGCCATTGCTGCACCCTCATTCTTCCAAAACTATTGTCACACCTAATCAGGTCCCCGGACCAAGCAGCTTCCAACACATCGCCCAGCCTGACTGGTTTCCCAGAGAGGCAACAGCCACCCTTAAGGCACTTATCCCTAACCAACACGGACTTTCAGGGACAAGCCTTCCACAGTACGTAGTTCTGCAGAGGAAACCCTGGTGCTGTTCTGCCTCGCAGATGTTCATGCAAGATCTTTTACGCTCCTGGCACCAGAGAAACCAATAACCTTGCCTGGTGACAGATCTTGTCTTGGCTTAACTCTGTTCTGCTCATCCTCAGTCGAGCATGCAAACACTGAGCCGGCCGCCCAGTGTGACAGAGCTCTCAGCCCTGCACACTTTGGTGCCTCCTACTTAGACCTGGAAGTCAGACAGGCAAAGCAGCATCAGCCTTTAAAAGCAGAGTAATTTACTACAGGTCATTCGTCATTTCCATTCCTGAAGCGTAATTCAAGCAATCCAAAAAAAGCAGAGAACGAAAATCAGGCATACAGAAAAAACGCCAAACATCCATCTTTGTTCCTTTCAGCATTTCATTCTAAGATCGGCCCGTCTGAGAAAACCGTCGTACGAGGCAGCCACAGGGATGGGATCCCATCAAGTTCAGTGCAGGCACGACATCCAGGCAGGCTACGTCATTAACTCTCACTCCACATACGTTGTTCCTGGACCGTTTTGGTAGCTTACCCCTGCAGACAGGAACCTCTTTCTACAAATTACAACACGTGTTAAGGGCCTGACCAGCAGTAACTCAAGAACAAGAAGCATTTCTTACCGTGGGTTTGCTGTCTGCAGAGAGGCCTGAAATGAGGAGGCAAGAAAAAGAAAACCCAGTTAGAGAACAAACATCAGGAGCAGCATCTTATCTAAAAGGAGGTGCCGTAAAGTCACAGCACTGCCCGAAGCAGCTCTGCACCCGTCCCACCACAGGCTTCCCACCACAGAAGAACTGCTGTCCTGTTTTTCCCAGCTTCTATCTCTGCTCACTACAGCAGCAGTCTCCCAATTTTTTTTTCACCTTCAAATCAGCTTCTCCACCCGCAAAACTGCTGCCGCCCCACCTCGCTAAGACAGCTTTGGCAATTGAACCTGGCATTTTATGAAGCCAAAGGATGTCTGGCACTCTGTTCAAGGATACCACAGGAAAATTTGGCTAGTGTCTTTCAGTTGTGCTTAGAAGTAAGAGACGCTGGAAAAAGTGTCTGAAGTACCACGGGAACAACACATGTCCTTTTCTTCCTGATTGTACAATTCCCACTCGGAGCTCCTGGGTGCGGTCAGGAATTTTTTTTCCAGGAATAATTAAATATTTGCAGTAAGGTCACTCCATGAATTGGTTCTGCTTCACCTCCTCACCTTTAGTCGAAACTGTGGCCAAACCAAACCTGCCGAAGGTAAACAGAGCTTAGTCAGAGACTCGGGCAAAGATAAGGTCAGCCAGTACCTGACACATCAAGTCTTATGTGTGAACTTCTCCTTCAAATACTTTTCATGAGTGTACTTGAACAAAAACTGGTTTGGGGGCAAGATTAACTGGAACACGCTATTACTGGCTAATGTAATTACTGCAGCAACTCCTGCACTTACTCTGCGTACAGCGATTCCCCACTTTCTTCACAAAACCAACCTCAAAGTCCAGAAAGCCAGTCGGATCACCCGCAGTTCACCGTTTTTCCCTTTTATTGCCCTGTCTTTCCAGAATAACTGTGAGAAACTTCACCGGTATTTTAGCCCAAGCGACGCCACAATCAGACACAGCCCAAATTTGACAGGGGGGTCTCCTGCCTCATGAGGAGCACCACCTCCCTGCAGGTGTAACACAGCACGTGTCTGCAAAGCCTCCAGTAAACCTGTCCGCCCTTTGTTCAGGCTGGGGGCAACCCCCACCTCATTTTTCAGACCCCTCCACCACCCGAGCGCAGCACACAGCCACGTTCACCTCACACCAACACAACCTGCCGCTGGCAGACGTGTCCGGAGTGGTCTTCTCCCAAGCAAGAAGAGGGGAGAAGGCTCCAAGCATGGACTCACCGAGCCGCCCGCGCTGCCTTCTTGCTCTCCAGGCTCACGGGTACATTGAAGCGTTCAGCCCTCTTCTGCATTCGCTGGAGGAGGGAAAGAAAGGAACCAACTGAGGAAGAGTGAAGATTTGAAGGGTACAGAAAGGAGGTTCTGCAGATGGAGAGAGGCACACAAACTCAACACGGGTGGGCTAACGCTCCAACGTGCCCTGCTAGACCAGCAGCACGCAGTCTGGAAAGGAGAACACCCACACACACACAGAGGTAAAGGGAGAGATGCTGCAGGCACCTTCCGTGGGCTCGTGCCATTCAAGAAGCCACCCCACAGCCTCCAGGACGTACGCTTGACCAAAAGGCGCTCTCATGGTTCTGATAAACACAGGCCTAATAAAAAAAAATCTAATACAAAAGGTATGCTGTTGCTCCGCTGCTCAGGAAGCGTTCCTAGGAAAGGAGACGTGCCGAAAGAGAACGGGACTGGGGAGCTGACAGAGACAGGCGACTATTTTAAGATGATACAAGGCTGCAACTGCGCTGGAGGCTGGCGTGCCAGCACGCAGGCTGGAGCGCTGCACACCTCGCCCAGGGAAGCCCTCGTGCCAGAGGGAAAGGAGCAGCGCTCCTGGCAGGGACTACAAAGGGAGCGGCCCTGACTTCCCTCCCGGAGGCAGGAAGCAAGCGGTAGGCACAACCGGCTTCGGCTGATTTGCAAGAAGAGAGGCAAACAAGATTTCCTTTTCTTCCCCGCCCTAAGCAAAAGGCCAAATATGCTAGAAAAGGGGATGGGGGGGGCGGTGTTTGTTTTCAGGGAACTTACTTATTTGGCACAAGCCTTTTCACAGCAGACCAACACTATTCATGCAGTTGGCTCAGCCTTGCAAGCAGAGTTTGCCATTAGCAGTGCAATTCAAGACAAAATTCAGCTACGTAGAAAGGACTCGGCCTGCTGCCCTTGCTGCAGGCAAGGTTTGCCTGGCTTAGAGCACGCTGCCCTAGGCACGGAAAAGCTTGGAAACATCAGAAGTGCAAGGGTTTGCACCTACGAGCATTAAATCCCCTTAAAAGCTTAAGGGAAATATTTAACATTTTATTATTACACAAGGGCCCAAAAATGTGTTTGGCATTTTAAAGGTTAGAGAAACAGATATTATTTTAATGGAAACATTTACTTTAGCCAAAAGCACAGCGAGGAGCGTAATAAACATGTGCGTCAAAACATAAATGTTGAGAAAAGATGGATTAGGAACACCACTCCTAACCGTGTCAGTACTGAGGAACTTTTACTGAGTAGAAACAATAAAGACAGGAAAGTGTACCTCTCGGGTCAAAGCACATTTCCTTATTTTTTCTGACACTTTGAAGAATATCCAGAAGAAATACCTGAAGAGCAGCTTCTGAAAGGACTCTCGACCACAGACAAGCCATGCCAGATCAGAGCAAAGGCTCCACTACCCCAGCATCCCCCGAAGGTGACTGTTACGGTCAGACGGGCGGTCTGCCTCCTTTACGCCCTCCCAGACTCCAGTGATCCACAGTAAGCCACTGACTGAATTTCAGGCTGCGCTCACATTTGCGTTCGTTTATCCCTGATGGTCACCTTCCCTAGGAACTTGTCTCCTCGCTTTTTGAACTCACCTGTACTTCTAGCACCTGTAACAGCCCACATTAACAGCCTCCAGCATTCAATTATGCATTGTATGGGAAAATAATTCCCTTTTATCTTCAAAAACTATCTACGACAATTTTGCTGAGACCTGATTCGCACTCAATCAAAAAAAAAAAAGCGGATTTCCTGAGAATAGGTTCGGCAGAATTTGGAGAAAAACAAAGGGCAAGAGTGTAACTTCAGCCAGTTCGCTTAATGAGCTCCTTAACCAGCTACGGCCAAGGGCAGCCCCACATCGCAGGGGACATCGCTCCTTCAGCAACACTTCCAGCTCCCACCAGGTACTGTGTTTCTCCTCATTACTGCTTCACTGAGGTCATAATCCTCCGCTTGCGACATCACCCTGGTTGCTGTGGAAATGATCGTGTCCCAAACAGAAGATTAAAACTCTAAAGTAGTGGTGAACAGCAGGGAGACAAGAATTATGTTTTAATAGTGATTTCTTTCTTATGGAACACGAGCAAAAAAATAAGGGGGAGGATTAGAGAACCACAATCAGATTCCTGAAATTCAAAGTTTCGCAAAGTTCTCCCAGAGGAATCGGCAGCTTCTAAGTGTGTTTGTTTTAAATAAGCCCAGCAAATGTAAGTGACAAAGTTAGAGAAGATAAAGATGAGATGATCCGTTAGCTCGTATCAGTTCCTCCCCAACTGATTACTCCCTGAAGCGTATCCCCAACAAAGCTTTGTAGTTTTACGTGTCTGAAGCGATCGGGCTTGCAGCAAGTCCCGAGGGACAGGGATGTGCCACGGCCTGGTGAACTCCGCAGTGGAACTTTTCATGTTCGCAATAGCAGGAAACGCAATTTATACACCAGAGTCATAACAGAGGCGGTTCAAGTCTACCAGCCTTTATCATCCAGAGCAGAGGATGTTACGGGGCAACGTCCATCTTTGTCTGCGATGGAATGACGCCCCAGGAATGACTCAGCTTGTCGCTGCCGAGTTGGAAATATTGAGGTAGGGTCAATGGTGGTTGGTGGCAGAAAGCAACAGCAGCGAGCAGCAGGGAAAGAAGCATTAACAGACAATTGAGAGAAACATTCCTTAAGATCTAGCGTCAAAATGAAACGTGCCATGGGGTCACCACCCTGCCAGGTCACTCCACAGCCAGCGACTGGTCATTAATATAAAATCAAGGAAAAATAAAGCAGGTTTACCATGGAAACACTGACACAGCCCCAGCAACACACAAAAGAGACTTTGAATGAAGTGAATACAGAAACCAACACCTCGGAGGATGAAGTAGCAGAAGGAACCTTACCTCCATCTGCGATATTTCTGACGTTATTTTCACTACCTTCTTTTCCGTAATCCTAGAGGTGTTGGGAAAGAGAGAAATCGGTCAGAACAGCTCCCGCTACTTTTGCGGGCACGCCCCAGTGGGAGAGTATCGGGGTTCTCCTCCCAGCCACCCGTCTCCGGCAACACCACCACCATCTGAACTGAGGGCCTGTTTTTAAAGCAAGAGCAGCCACAAGCCAGCATCCCCCTTACGAGGGCAAGTTTAGAGACAGATATCGATGCTAAAGCGAAGTATGAAGCCTGTGAAACTTATAACCGAAGCCCAGGGTGTATTAGGGGCAGGAAACACACGACCCAGTGAAGGCGCAGCTGTGGGTTCTCCCACGAGCCTAACTAGTGCCTTGAGCACTCCCAAATTCCTTTGGCAATGATGGGAAGCTGGAAAAGACTCAAGAACCAGCCACACTCTCACCCATTCTCTACACAGGCTTGGAGGATAATTAATTTCGTTTAAGGCAAGAGAAATGTTCTGCAATTTTAGCGGGGTGCTGCAGATGCGTCTCAAAGTGCCAAGTGGATATTACAGCAAGAGGCAGCAGACCTATGCCCCCAAGAACAACACCCTGCCCATCTTAAGGCTCTTAACAGTAACATTCAGCTCTTCTTAGAAGCCCAAAGCCTCGACTGCAAGCCCCGAAGAGCTTTATTCCTTTATGGCCCTCAAACACAAAGGATTGTTCTGTTCTAGTTCATGGGACAGCCACAGGCAACTTTCCCCAGGTCAGCACCAGCACCCCGAGCCCAGGCTCCATTTCAAACACACACTTCCTGAACAATGCGCAGCTGACAACAGCGAGACCTGTAAAAAGACTGAACGAAAATATAATGGAGTGGGCGTGCTCCAAAGTTTATGCTCCGAAAACAGAGCTCAGGCTCGAGGGGGAAAACAAAAGAGGAAGAGACAAAGTTCGGAAGTTCCCAGGCTAAATGAAATAGCATCCTCCTCCTCCAAACAACTCCCATAAAACAGTGGGTCACAGCCAGCCTCATTAAGGTCTCCCATTTAGAAAAATGCACTGCTTTTGTTCCAGATTCCTGGACAGGTTTCTCATTTTATGCCCTGAAAGGTAGTAATGGTTTAATGGCACTTTAACAGGAAGCAATTCTGCCTGGGAGCTGGGACTCGGCGCTCGCCAGCGCTGCCGGCGCCGCTCGGCGGGCTCAGGA